AACTGGACAGGCAGTCGCGGTTCACGCTCAGCCAGCCCGAGCTGATCGCCGCGTCCGCCGGCCGGCTCAGCTGTCGGCTCAACAATCGGCAGCGGAACGAGGTGTGCTGCCAGCCAGAACCTGAAGCCGTCGGCGAACGGCGGTACCGGCAGCGGTATCATGACCAGAAGGACATATTCTAGGCAGTCTGAACAACGTGAACCGCAGGAGGTTAGTACAGTTAGTAGTAAGCCGGTGTTGTGTTGGCTACACGTATGTCATAATATTATCGGGAGTATGATCCGCCAGCTGCAGTTTGTACCACGACTCTGCAACATCCGATTTTCGTATATCTGCCTTATTAAATACGGCGCACATGTTATATACACACCGTGAGTCCATAAACTCATATTGTTACGAAAAGTGCATTTGGTTAAAATACGTTTTGATAAAATAATATTCGTTTATCTTTATATTTTAAAATGAAATCTGTTAATATTTTACATTTTTAAATATTGTTTAAATATGGTCTAACTATTTAAATTATCACACCATGTGCGTGTTTAACTGTAAGTGTATGCTGTATTGTCGTGAGCAATACGTAACCGAACGAAGCATACCAGATTATTAGTTGAAAACAAATGTTTCAAGGCGGGCGGCATGTTACGTATCATATATCATATTATACCCGTATCTCGTTATTGTTATCGGACTAGTCGATCTAGGGTACCGACGGGTTTTTTGATATTATTATTATAGTCAGTCGCGCATCGAAAGTTGTACCGAGCACAGCAAGCGACCATACAACTATTTAAGTCATATTAAAGTTTTATACAGTCCACTTAAACATTTAATCTTTTTATTTAAATTATTTAAAGATCTATTCCTAATGATTAAACAGGCTAATTATAAAATAGGCGAGTAGCCAGTCCGCCACTGTATTTTACTCCAAGACCTTAGTAATTTTTCAGAAATTGTATTACAATATTACATACTGACCTAGTTCCGTAGGTAATATAATTTGAAATTAAAATAATAATAATTAATAAATAAGTAATATTAGTTCAACGCGTAACGACTTATTGTTGACATGACGTGAACACGAGCGTCTTTTTATTTTATTTTACACTATGTAAACACACATACTATAATGATCCATTTACTATTAAAGTTACTGCATTTACATAACAGTACGACATGCAAGCACTCACTCACTCAATAGGTTTGATAGGATATTTAAAATTTAAAAATAAACTAGAGAATTTAATTAATGTGGTTTGTACCCATTAAAAACATAAATTATAATTAATTATAACATAATTTATTATTTTGTTATTATAATACAACAAAATATACTTAAAATATTTTGTGGTTATATCGTTACAGCTAATGCCTAATTTTCAATTAGACACATAATAATAGGTAACATTCTTTATAAATAATAATAATTTGATAGTTTAATATTTACTTGATTGATAACAGTTAGCAATTTAATTTAATTTTTGAATATAATAGTATATATATTTTTAAAAAAACCACTTTTCAATTTACTCGGAGATAAAATATTAAAAATCATTTTACGAAAAAGACAAAGCGTGTTCAGCTATAATTTATAAAAGAATCTATTTAGAGCAATTGGATATCATATTAATTGTTAACTAAGTAATAATTGTCTTTGGGACCAATGTAACAGCAAATGAGCTGTACGGTTCAGTAATAATAGTTATTCAATTATCGGCATAACACCACTACTGTAATACTAATTAGTAATTAATAATTACTAATTATATATGTACTACGATGATTCCATTATAGTTGTAGTAAGTCTAAGTAGCACTCGCGGTAGTGATATAATTTTATTTTTAGGGACTGAACAAATTAAATTACAACACTAATTATATTTATAAATACTACAAGATAAATGTAATAGTGAAAAGTGTCTGTTAAATATCAGAGGTTCTTTAGAAATCACGAATAAATATTGAACTAAAAGTGGTTGTTTTGTTTTTAAAATAGCTGTTGTGTTAGTTGTTAAACCCGTAAAAATAAATAAAAAATAACTTTAGAAATAAAAAATTTACTGGATTATAATATTTATTTTTGTTTTTCAGAAATCTGTATGTTTTCAATGTACGTAAAAATATTTTTAAATGTGTACCTAATACCTGCTATACCCTATATAATATATGTTTCTTCAAACAAAATACACTCTCTCGCAGGTGTTTATAAAAAAGACGTGTTTTCATCAACACACCCTATACATAGGGTTCATTTCATTTAGCATCGCTTGGTCGAATTACAGAAACCTTCGCTGTAGGTAGTTCAGCATTTTCAATTCACTCTAAATATATTATAAAAACGATGTCTACATTTATTATTGTTATGGGTCGATTTTGTGGAATAAAAATATCTCGAGAAATTTAGACGTGTCATTGAAATAAGAATGGAGCGTAAAGGAATGCGAGTCCCTTGCAGTGTCGAGTGTCGAATAATGGAACAACATGACATCCGACCGGGCGTTGTCAATAGCCGCTGCAGAGAAATCGTAAACTACCTTTAGAAGTAACATATTGTATTTTATTATATTTATTGAAATAAAATAAACCATGTACTGAAACATTGTGTGTGAAACGGGTATTCGCAGAAAAATTGAAAAATAGGCGCTGATTTAATATTATTAAATTGGGTACACGTATCATATGCTATTTACATTAACAAAGTTGTCTACTCATTTTCCCTTAACATAAACTTCATAAGCCTACATACAAGTGCTCAAACACAAACAATTGAATGTTTACGGAGAAACATAAAATTAAAATGTAATATAAAATCACGTGAAGCAACAAAGCTATTCGAAAGGCAATAACAAAAAAAAAAAAAAAAAATGGTGGCGTTCAGTCCATTCGAGTATTCGACCAATGTGTTTGAAAGTTTTTTAAGAGACATAGAAGACACATTTATGTAATATTATAATTTTTATGACAACTATAAAACTACAAGCTCCATTAAAAATGTTTAGGTAAATTAAGAATACATTTTTTTGCGTAGATAGCATATGACATAAACAGTCATTTTTTGTAGACAGGTGTATTTTAAATTGTCATCTATAGTAAGTTCTAACTTAAAAATAATAATAATATGATCTGATATGTACCATGATAACTAAGTAAAATTTTACGATAAGACTAAACAGTTACTGTTAAGTATCTACTTATCTTTGAGTGATTGTAGATTGAGATGAATTGATATACGTGTATTTATAAATATTTAATTTTAATTTACAGTAGTAGACAAAATAAAAACGAATAAGACGCAACAGGGAGGTGAAACGTTTTTGTGTTTTAAATATAAGCACGAGACAAAAAAAAAATTTATAAAATGTGACACGTGGTTTGTTAAAATGTTATTTTAAACAAATATGTACATGAAAAAAATAAACACAAAAATTCTCAAGTCTATCATGCGAGTCGATAATAGTAATAAAAATTAAAACAATAACAGTATAATTTATGACATGCAAAACTATCAAAAAATGTATATACTCACAAGGTCACGGCGATTCAGCACTACAGCTACAAATAAATGGTTTCTGTGTTGATCGGAGGGTTCTGTGATGCAAAGGACTGTTGCGAACGAAATGAAAGTAGTTGCCGATTACCGAAATGTATGGGCCGTTGCCCACACGCACGCTACCTGCGCGTTAACGACCAATATTCGTCTGCGTGATAGGTAACACCATGGTGGAGTTTTTTTTTTTTTTTTTGGGCCTCCATATTCTCGGAAGAATAATGATTATTGGAAGAAAAAATATTTGAAGAATATTGAACCTGCAATTTGGGATATCGAAAATATGATCTTTTTCTTCTTGAAAAACTTCCATAAATCTGCTACACTCGATCAAATAAATGCTTTAAATATCATATAACTCACAAACTATTCATCCGAAATTTGATGTAAACTCATTGAGATACTCAAAACAATAATTTGTTCCGGAATATGAAATTAAAAATGTATGTTATCATACAGAAAAGTAAAAAAAAAAAAAAAATTATAATGATAAAAAATATTAAAATATCAATTATTATTTTTTATGATTTACAATTATGTAAAAGAAATTTTTTCAAAAATGTTAATAAGTTTTGAAATAATACGCGGTTTGTGATAAACTAATCGCTCAGTATGCTTTACATACCCTAAAACTAGTCATTATTCTAGTCTCAAAATTATAATATCAAACTATAATATGGGAAATGGTTTGACGGTGTTAATGGTTAAATTGTGCAAAAAAGTAAGTAATATCCATTTAATATAGCACAACAACAACTTTTTCTTTGACAAGTTAACATGTGTGTGTGTGTGTGTGTGTGTGTGTGTGTGTGTGTGTGTTACAAGTGCTAATATTCATTTATGCATGCACGAGAACATGTAACAATAGAAATATTTTAGTATATGAAAAATATTAAAATATTAAACGTTTTAAATTCTAAGTGGAAAAACAAAAATCAATAATAAATTTTAAAAATTAACTATAAAATTCTGTCTTTAAGACTTAATAATTATATTTATAAGGAATATAACTTATAGTTTATTAGATATCAAATATATAAACAATTTATTTTATAGAATAACACCATCTTTCAATATGTTCGTACTGCTAATAACTTTTTAGGTTTTTCAATTATATTTTTGATCTAAAACTGACAACCAGCGGGTATCATTGCATTTGAAATATACACATTTGTTTACATATTTACTGAAACTGTTTCATATCATGTATTATATTTTTATTATTCAGGTATTGAGATTGCGTTTTGTATTCGTTGATATTAATCTTTTTATCATTGCGTCACATTTTTATTTTTGTATTGGTCCAACATTTTTTGGCGTATCGAACTTTAAATTAATAATAATAAAAAATTTTAGGTGATATAATATTGTATAAATACGTTATACATAATATTGAATAAACTAAGGATCAAGATATATTATATTATTATATGGTACCGAAAGTTTGTATTTTTAAAGATATTTGGATCATTTAATATATTTTTGTCTTCCTTTTCCACAAAATCAAATACTTGGGCCCAGTTTACTTCTTCAGATCTATAATGGTTATTATTTATATGATTAATATATTTTTCTTTTTCGATTTTAATATTTAATATTGACAATTTTTGAAGCTGTTGAAACATTATGTCTGAATCTTCTGATTCGGCGTTTCTTTTTAAACTAGCATCAAATTTCTGTAAGTAAAAGTTTAATAAAACGATTTAATTTGTAGTTATGAATTGATAATAGTTATTACATATTCTTCTGTATAATCAGCAGCCAATAATTTATTTATAATGTCTCTATACTTTTTATCGGCTTCGGATCTTATTATTGAAATCTCTTTAGTTTTACTGCTATTTTTATTCATAACTTCAAAGTAATAGTCATCAATTTGTTTTTTACTGATATTCTTTTTTTTTCATCATGGCCTCGACCATATATTGCTTTTCTCGTTGTAAGTATTCATATTTCAATTTACCCAAACGTGTTTGTGGTCCTCTCCGATTTATATACCAACTAAAATTATTAGTACGGATATTAGTATTTATGTTCTACGTTTGATGTACCTCTTATAGGATAATAGTTATTCATTTACTTGAATGTTTCGTCACAAATTGTTTTCTGTATTTGATCTCGTGACACTACTGCAGGTGGAATGTATTCGCTTTCAGCCGCATGCAATTGTTCGTATGATTGAATTGACTTGTAATCATGTTCGTCCACGTCATATTCTCCCGAGACCCCGAATTCATCTTTGTACTTTTCGTTCCAAGTGTCTAACCCTCTTAACCAATCACACTCTTCTTGAAATAGATTTCCGATTTCTTTGATTTCGCTTTGTTTCAGTATCATTGCACGTATAGTCATTATCATTACCGTCCCAGCTGAATCCGAGAAACATATTATCCTGTTTTTCTTGTAGTTTACCATATCGTTTACACCTTTAGCAAACATTACACTTTCTGCGCCAATATAACTATATAACGGAGACGGGCACGACAATGCTGCAGAAAGTTTATCATGATACATTTTATTTACGACGATCAACGGCAATAGGTTATTACACATAATTTATTTTATTAAAGTATATTCTGAAAGTTCCATTATTACTTACATGCTATTAGCCCATCTTTGAGAAAAATATCCGCAGTATAGTACGGTTGATGAGTGTGCACCATAAAATTCCAAAATTGTATAACGCCACTGTTGTTGAAGGACACGCGAAATTTCGTGGGATGAGTAGTAGACCATAAAACGCTGTTTGTAAAATCATCGAAACGTTTCCACCAAATTGGACCATTCTATAGTGTAAAATTTTAGTTTTAATTTATTTTCATAATTTAAATAAATCAATAGTTAAAACGTACGCATTTACTAATAGTAAAAGAATACCATCTTTATAATACATTATATTATAATTAATTTTAAATATGAAAAAAAATGCGTGAAAAATTTAAACAAGATACAAATTTGTAATATAAATTATAATATTAACTTTTGAAATAATATAAATGTTAAAATATGCACTGTTTCTCTAAACTTACTTTATATTTCAAATTCCAAACTGACACTACTTTCCCACCACAGGCCAAATGAATATCCGGTAAAAAGTAATTTCTTTTGATGCAGTTGATCGGTCCGTCGTGTATTTGTTTCCACCATATATGTTTGCACTCTGTAAATTATAAATTAATTTCATGAAAAAATAAATAATAAATAATTTGAAGTTTTAATCCATGCCTTCTACGTTTCCATCTCGCGGATATGTATCATATCCTTCCCATGTTACAACTCCGATTTGGCCCATAATAGTTCCAACCACCAAAGTACGGTTTGGGTCACTAGGCTCTACTGGTACTATATAATAAAAAAATACGGTGCACAATAAAATAATATGTTTGGTTATTGACAATTAACGCACATTTTAAAATGCACACTAAGTATTTAAAAACTAGGTATTAGTATAAAACCTTATGTACAAAATACATTTTGTATATAAAAATAATATTAATTATAATTTTGTTTAATATATTATTTTAACTATTATAGGTACATAAAACGATATACCTATATCTTTAGTCTGATTCGTTATTTGATGTAACCTGATCAAAAGAAAAAAAATATTTTCTAAAATATTCTATGTATATGTGTATTTTACTATAATTTGTATTATAATTATAAATATTAAGATTTCGTTATAGTTACAAATAATTATACATGTATAATAATTATAATAATTATAATATTATAATATTATAATTAAATATTATTATTATAATTAAATATTATAATTATAATAATTATAATATTTTTAAATGCGTAAACAACATAATAGTCTTTAATATCTTCGCACAAAAATTCTAAATTTTTCGGTAAAATTTATGTGCGTCAAACGTGTCAAGACATATTTTTGACAAAATGTTTGTTTTCAAAATTTTGTCACTCGATGTGTCAATCCAATCAATACTGTCGTGTACTTTTGATGATTACTTACTGTATTCGAATTGCCGTTCGCCGATCGTCAATGGTTGATCAGAGGTGTATTTGTATTGCATTAAGGGTATTTCAAAGGACAGCGCTGTTATAGGGCTATACGTGGTGCTATTCATTGGGTCTTCTGCTGGTTCTCTGATTATGATCTAAAAATATATTTATATACTACAGAATATAGAGCACACGTATAAATAAAACATAGATCGTAGGTCATAATCATAAGTACCCCACCAAATATTAGTGTACTTATATAAAAGGCATTTAACTGTGCAACACTATAGACAATCAATCTTTGGAAACTTTAAAATTTTAAATGAATAAAGTTGTTTTCTACATAACACTGTGGGGTGATCGATATCGGAGTGTTCTGTCTCTGTGGATACAACTAATTATACGATAAAGAAAATGTCGGGAATAAAAAAAAATCGTCTCAACATTGTATAAATCTAATCAAATACCGGTAAAACAGCATTACGAGAGTTTTGATTTGCTTACTACATCAAAGTATGGTATGGCAATTATCGCGTATCGATTATATAATAATTGACAAAATTAATAATAGATCAGAAACTGAAAGAAATTGATTATTGGTGCTTGCAGAATAACATAGGTGTTGATTAGTATTAAGTATGTACCTACCTAGTGTCGTGTATGTCTATCGTAAATATCGTTTTGATTGTTTTAAATTAGCTTGAAACAATCAAGGTGATGATGATTAATACGATTTGCAAATTGTAACAGATAATTCAATAACGATAAAAAAATTGCATTTAAATTTGTGTTATGACAATGGTATTGTCGTAGTCAGTGGACTGTTAACTGATGACAAAATCATGGTTATAATTTATAATTAACCATATCTCAAATAGTAATGGTCCCAACATTTATGTAGATTATTGAATCTCAAAGAAAAGCTTTGAATATTCCTACGGCAATCAAAGTAATATCGTTTTTAAAAACAATATTAGGCAATATGTTGAATTTGTTGAAATTGTAGTACTTCAATATTCAAAGCAATAGGCAAATTAGAATATTTTGTTAATAAACAGCTAAAACAACAAAATTAATGTTTTTTTAATGATAAATCATTAAATTTTTGTGAAACATTTTCATTTTTTTTCTAATTTTTTATAATACATATTTATTTTAATACTTATCTTAACACAAGTAAGAAAAATGTTAAAATTGTGTTTTATTATATCTCGAAGTCTTAAGTACCGTTTGTATATTTATTTATCTATACCGATAATTGTAGTAAAACTTATTAGATCAATAATATAAAAATCTTACCGAATACGATGGTTTTAGATGGTTGTTGAGAATGCTTAATGGTGATTTATTGGATAACAATTTTTTTGGATACTCAAAACGACTATTTGTTGAATTTTTTTGATAGGTTTGTATTGACTTGGGTTGCAAATCCCAAAGTCTTATAGTCCCATCCAAAGAAGCTGAAATAAATTGTTCCGAAAATTTTCCTTGTTTCGTCGATATAAGTTTGCCTAATGAAGTTATCTAAAATTAAAAAAAAAAAAAAAATGGTTTAACTCACTAGTAAATTTATTATAATACATTATAACAATCATAACGTAATATTACGTATGTGTTAGAAAATTATAATATTATATGTGTACTATATTGGTGATTATAGAGAGTTCGATTTCTAACATCTCATAGAATATTAGTTATTGTTCTAAGTCTTAGAACTTATTGGATATTGACTGGAAAGATCATATAATGTTTATATTTGAACTTTTAGATGCTCTTAAAAATTGGATTCTGTTCTATATGAGGCCAAACTCGACGCCAAAAAGAGAATGAATAGTTTGTATAATATTAATATTTTTATTTTCAACAGTGATAATTTGGATTTTAATAGGGGTCATAACTAATGAAGTCTAATTATTTAAGAATTCGACTTTGATTTAATGTTTAATGTGAGTAAAAAAAATATTATTATTTTTCAATTAAATATATTATATATACCCATATACAAATATATTTTCATTGTATATGTACATCATATTACAGATATTTATTTTTAATATCTAGATAATTAATAAAAATTGAAAATAAAGTTATAATCAAGGTTCGGGACTTAGAGCATTTACTTATTTTTTTTGCCTTGATATAAAATCTAGCTGATTATTTTTGAGTATTCACAGTAAAATTAGGACTAAAAATATTATTTCTATTTAACAAGTGTTAAAAATTATCAGTGTTAGAGAAAAAAATTGTGTTTATTGTTTTTTTCTTATTTAATTACTTAAGTGCTTATAAAGCAGTATTCAAATGCTTTTTTAAATACTTATTTTGAAAATTATAAATGCATAAGTCCCGAACCCTGATTATACTTAATATATCATAATATTCATATTAAATTGTATAAAAATATTAGGACCACAGGATCACATTTTGCGGCAAAAAATTAATTAATAGAATATTATACAATAATATTAATAAATATAAATATAAATAAAAATATTAAATTAGGACATTTAAAAAAAAAGTTGAATTTAAATATTTTTGGAAGACTATTGAGCCAACCTCCTCGTGGTGTCTTCTGGGTAAAGCTAATAGGCTCAGATTTAGTATAATATAGGTATACTGATATAAGAAAAAGATATGTGCCTAAACGTGCTATTATGAAGGAAAATATTACGCCCAAACGTATTTCCCCCGATTTAATCACATATTTTTTGTTTGAAAATTATAACCATACATTGTTTAAAACTTACCGTTGATAATTATTTTTATGTAAATTATTTAACAAAAATTATTCATTATGAATGCATTAGATACATCTACCTACTATTGTATATTATTATGCTACCACAGGTATACGCCCCTAACTATTTTTCAACTTTCATTGCTGGATAAGCATAAACTTTTTGAAATAATTGTCAGAAAAAATCAAATGTCGTTAAATATTAATAATAATATACTATTTAGTAGTATACTAGTGCATATTGTGCAAATAATTATTTTTTTTTTTTATTTTTTTTTATAAAGAATTTAAATAAACATCGGTTTTAATTATCAATTATTAGTTAAAGATCAGATTTTACTGTTATGATATGTACATTCTAGATCATATTTAATTATTTTAACGTTTTTGTACGTATGTAAGTCCAAGTGCCTTTTGAATTATTTATTTGACATGATTTTAAATGCGCGACCATTTAAATAATATCTTTTATAATTTATTGTACTAATGACATTGTCCTACCGAACTACGAAAACTGCCCTATTTCGATTCACCAAAATACCATTTCGTATATTATACCACACTTTTATACACGTAATATTCACTAACTTTGTTCATTGGATGAATCCATTGAATCGCAGTGACTGTTGTCTCGTGAGATTCTATGATGGCGCTTAATACTGTCGGTCTGATTCTAGTTTTAAAATTTACGTCTAACGACCAACTCATATGCATGTACTATTAATAATAAAAAATAAATAAATGGAATATAATAATTTTATATTAATTTTTTATTCGTATTCCAATAACCAACAAGTATATTTAGTTATTTATTTATAATATTTACCAGATGTTTTTTATGTTGTTTTTCCTTTTCAGACATGCTCAAACTCGAACCCGTTGCCTCCAATTTTCCTTCGATGTCCCATATACAAATTTGTCCATTCATCAATCCTCCTACGACGGTGTTCCCATTTCTAGGGTTAAATTCAACACATCGTACTTCTTCGGGACTTTCCAATCTCAACTGAAAATTAATTTAAAAAACACCAATAAACGTCAACATAATAATTATAAAATAAAAATATTAATCTATCAATACTAAAATATAGTTAAGTACTTTTGGAAATACATTATCACTAATTGACCAAATAATGACTGCGTTATTCTGTTCATCTATTAATGATGTACTTTCTCGTTTGATCATAGATTCTTGGTCATTTTGTAGCAATGCGTATTGTTTGACTAGTTTAGTTTTATTTTTTTTATTACCTCTAAATTTTTTACATATATCCCCAGCTTCGAACATATTCTTGGTTAACTTAAGTTTATTTTTTTTAGTTTCTTCATTTCTATATTTTTAAATTAAATAATATATTATAGCAATATTTATTTTGAAACATATGATTAAAAAAAGTATATATATATAAATACTCTTTTTTTTTTTCAGTTTCAGACATTAAGAGTTGAAATAATTTTTCTTCTTTAGCTTCTCGATTATATTTTTTATTAAATTCCCTAATTAAATTTTTTTATTAATAGAAGATTAGTACAAGAATACTTTTATTACCTATGTAAATTTCTAACAACGTTCCTCAGTTCGTTATTATACAACCATTCATCATCTTCGCCCCAAATATTATAAAAACTTTCAGTGTCAGAATCATGGTGACGCAATTCGTTAATTTCACTTAAATCTTTAGTAGCCATCATTTTCTCATAACATACTGAGTAATCAGTTTTATTGCTTATTACGTCGTCTTCGTTACTATGTCCCTCTCCAGCAAACTCGTCACACGCAGAATGTTGTTCATTAGAATCATAGATTAACGCATCGCGCAAACGTTTATTAATGTCGTTTGTAGGTTCTTTGCTCATTTTTTCTTCTTCGGATATTTGAAGAATTCTCATTTTCTTTGGTTTATAATATCCAACTTTAATAATTTTGATTATTTTATACCAAAACTTATTACTAATGTACCTGTACAAATTCTCTGTTCAAAAAAGACACGAGCTTTTCCTCATAATTATTATCGATAACTTTAACTTTTGGTTGCTTATTCCAATTATCTTGGTCATCGTCATCTTCGTTGTATGATATACTGAAATTTTTGCTTTTTAATTTTACATTAGACGCAGTAGTTTCCTCGTCTGTTTTTTTTAAGCTTACGGGTTTCAACAACTCATTGCTATTAGCCATGTAAGAAACTGCGAAAACACCTAAAAATACAATATATTGTAAACTACTTTCGTTATCCACATGATTAAATTTAATTACAGTTTAAGTTTTACCTACTATTGTAGGATGCCAAGTGTGACAAGATACGTATTTTTTTTGGGATATCTCATTCTGATATCCAGGATGAATTTTTATGAGCTCGTCAACATAATTGATTTCAGTTTTACTTCTTTCTCCCATCAACTTGTAATCGTCACGGTATATATCGCACAATTCGTTATATTGTAATTGAGTAATTATTCTGATGAAGACAATTAATAATATATTAGACGATTCTCAATAAAATATATTTTATAAATATACGACTGTAGTAGTTTGATAAGTTATTATAGGTGTACACTATACAGTATACCATACGCTAAAATATGTACTTATACATGCTCCTTGGCATGTTTAAATCGTCAAATATGACGTATAATAATAAATAATAATTAATAGTAAACACATTATGTGTGTTATATGAATCGTAAAGTGTAATTTTTTTTCTTACTAAAGTATAGGCTCATTTGGATAATAATTATAAATATTTACTCAGGAGTATTTTTTAGTAAAAAATCATCCAGCACTTGTACTGATTTAATATTAGGCTGTGATTGATCAATTAGTTCTTTTTCAATAACCGACTGAATACATTTATTATCTTTAATTTTTGGTATTGTTTGCATTTCTCTATTGATCGTTTTTGTTTTGGCCTAAAAATAAAAAACACAATATATTTGAATTTTAAAGTACTATAATTGTGATACCAAAGATTTTTATAAATACTTGTATATTTGAATCCATTATTAACTTATCACTCGTTTCAAATATTTCTTTTGGTTGTGGTTGTAATTTAATATATTGGTTTCTTATAGATTTTGAATTTGTGTTTTCAAATTCTGCTTTAGCTCGAATTCTTCTTTTTGGAACTACCCATTTATATTTTATCTATAAATGTATTTCATATTTATTACTTTTATTTAATAATAAAATTTAGAACATGTTAATATTTTATTTATAATGTAAACCATATATACTGTCTTTAACTTGCAAAGATAAAATGTACATAAGCATATCGCATTTGTCGGTAAATTTAATATGATAAAGCATACCTTTTCACGCGTTGTAACTGTTTTTTTATTTTCAATATCTTGTTCACTACCTTTAGAATCCCAATGACGTATTTTACGATACATGGATCTCTCAACTTGTTGATCAAGCTCTTTTTGTGCTCGTATTTGTGCTTCTTCAACATATCGTTTAGCTTTGTCAGTGGTGCATAAAAAAAATTCTTCGTCTGTATTACTTGAGGATTTATATCCAATTAAAACATCATCATTTGTAAGGGCCTGGTGAAATAAATAAATTAGATAATCATATTGTTTAATAAAAAAATAAAACGTAAATAGGAAAAACATTGACAATGTATTTTTACTTCAATTTGTGCACGAAATTCCCAAAAACATGAGTTCGTTTTTTGTATCTGTAAATTTTCAATAATTTTCTTACGGGATATTTTCTTCCATGGGTTATTTATAAAAACATGTTTGTCTACTGCACATTGGAAATGTTCATGTAAATATTTCGGTATGAACACAGTTTTTACGTTTTCCTTAAGAAATTCTATTGGATCTAAAATATTAAAAATATATTCAATTCTTTTATGATACCACCATTTTAAATTTAAAATAAACAGTATTAACCTTTTTTCAAAATAGCTGCTGGTTCAGTATCCACTCTGAGCATATTTTCCTGAAAAAAACTTGCCTGTGTACAAATATATAGTACTTGTTTATGCACAAATTAACAAACAACAAATATATTTTTGTAATTTTATAATACAGAGTATGTGTCTACTTATGATTTTTATATACTATACGGTGTATTTAGAATTATAAATTTAAAAAATTAATTTACCTGTTCAACATTTTTTTAAATTGTTTAAAATTAAAGAATAAAAATATTATTTTATTAACTAAAATAATTTTTAACAACAACAATTAAAAATATTTATAAGGTTTGTAATTTTTTTTTTTTTGGATTTATCATAAAGTTTTTTTAATGCTCCTTTTTGTGAATATTAAACTGTCTTGACGTTTTATTAGTAAATTAGTTTTATTTTTTCTGTAGGTACATAAATCTGAGTATCTATTTATTCCCAAACAAATTTTAACAGACTACTTTAAAAAAAGTTTCTAATATTTCTATTTCTAACTTGTGCGAAAACCAGAGGTTATGGATTTTGTATAAAATTAATTTGTGTTTTAAACTAGTATTTACTATAATTTCGTTTTCCATTGAACCCTCGTCATTAATGTTTATCGACGAATTTTCTGACCTTTGGTACGACATTTTGGCTTTAATTATTCTACAAAAAATTAAATATATCCGTTGTGGAATATCCGTTGGTTGTTAAATGTAGGTATGATAGAGTATTGATATATACGAGTGTATTGTGTAAATCACTATTAATTAAATGACGTATACGTGTACAATGTATCTAAAACAATTAAATACAAAGAACAAAATAAGTTAGTAAGTAAAATATCAAAATAAACGGTCAACCACGAGCAAGGTTACTACGGTTACAATTTTGCGAAATAAAGCCAATATTTTTGTAGTAATATTAGTGGAGACAAACGAGTACGTGTTGTGTCTGAGAAATGATATTTTCTTGACTTGGCAATGATATTTAATCTGATCTACCAAAAACAATAAATTAAATATAAAATATAAATGTCTAGTGATTTAATTAATATTACATACAACAGGGTTTGCGTACGGTTATCAATTATCACTTAGTACTACTTACTAATTCAGCATTATTATTTGACCAACCTATCATTGAGTATTAAAAAAAAATTGTTCTGGTATATACTCAAAGGAGTGAAGTAATTTTTTTCAACAGCATCTTGGAAGTTGAAACATATATAAATTTTATTCACTTTATTTGGGTATAGGTACATATTAGTTTTAACAAAAACGCTTGGCTGTGAAAAGTTTATAGCCTTTGAGAGTTTCTATGGTATATATTCATTTATAAATAACATAGTTTTTATACAATTCAAAGTGTTTATGTTATATAATCAAAACTATGAGCAATTTATTAAAAGAATGGCTCATACATCAATTAGGTGTAGAGGTTAATTCCCTACATAGTAATAATTTAAGTTCTAAGTTTCAAAATGGAATGCTAATTGGAAAAATACTTCTGAACTATGGTTTAGTGAGTTCAAAAGAGTTTTCTTTATTGATCAACCAAGAAGATGAAGTGACAAAAAAATCAAATTTTCGGCACCTCGAAATGTGGTTGAACATGTTACATATTCCGTTAGACAAAGATACTATTAATGGAATAATACACGGAGAAAGCTCAATTATTATTGCATTTTTGTATAAATTGTGTTTTCTCCTCAAATCTCCAAGTGATTTAAATATAATTGGACAAATCAAGAAATTTTACAAATCGCTCGGAGGTTATGATTTATCAAACGGCTTATTCACATCTGGAAAAATTGTCAATTTTTCACATAAGAAACCACAATCGATTCAGAAACATATCGATAAAAAAACTGACGGAAATCATAGTATACCGCATACGCTTGATAAGATAGCTTATTTCGAGTGTAGTTTATCACAAAAAATAAATAGATGGGCTGCTAGAGGAGACCAGTCTTGTAATAGGTAATTAATAAACTGATATATCTAAATAATTGTTCAATTAAATATAGTTTAATACATCTATAAATATATATTTGATTGATTATGCTCGAGAATAATTTTATTGGCATATTTTTTTTACATTTTCTTCATACTATTAATATAAATTTAATATTATGTAAATATATTTTCAAACATGTCTTGCAAAATATTTAGTACCTATAGTAACTAAGTAATTTTAAATGCAAATTTACATTTTCATATAAAATTACAGTGCCTATAGTTGTTATATTTATAGTTTACAAAATGTCATAAATTAATCTAATGCATTCGATATGTTGGTTGTATCCATAGACCTTAAATAATAGACAAACCTTGTCTTTTGAGTGATTTTTAGAGTTGTAGAAGTGGCCACTCTAATCTACAACAGCAATGTAACCTTAAATCTCAATATTTTTTATTTTTGAAATCTATATAGTAATATTGTGCTTATAGATCAATATTTTAGTATTCATTTTTAATACACAGGAAAAAGATAGAATAGCATAATAATATAAATAATAATACGAACATGTAACATAGATTGTAATATAATACAATTATAAATATCATGTTCATATATTATATTTAGTATGATTAAATTCGTGAAAAATGAAAATTATAAAGTGACATCATTGATAATACACAGATCACACATTATCTTTATAAAAGGCTGGTAAATTAGTATAAGGTCTAAGGTTATAGCATAAATAACATATAATATAATATTCACTTTCATCTCCAATTAGTTCGATAAAAATACTCTTGTCGGAAAATTTATTACATTTTAAAGTTAAATAATGTAAATGTTTTTCCAAGTTCATGCAATGTACTTTATTGTTTTTCCTGATTTAATTTTCATTTCATATAAAATGTGATTCAAAATTATGGGAGAAGATATTTGTTTGACATTAAAAATCGAAAAGAACACGCAAAAATATATGAATCGTGGAGAAAAGAAACCATTAATAAATATCTAACAAACAATTTGAAAAAAAACAACCGTCATAACCAAGACGTTCTGAGGAATAAATCTATATTGAATAGGCTTAATTGCATGTCTGATTGCGAAGAACAATTAGTAAATAAAATCGACGATATGAGAATCGCTACAAAAAAACTTAAAACGTTTATCGCTAAAAACGACGTGGAGTTTGTTGAAAACAATATAGTTCACAAAAAGTATGAGATGAGTGAAGAAAACAAATTAAACATGAAAAAAAAGGTTTATCGAAACATTATTTTTATTTCGTCTTATTTCGTATTGAATTTGTTTTTATTCTAGCTCGTAGAAAGAAATAAAGATTTAAAAAACAACGAGAAGACGGTAATAATGAAAAGCGTAGTTCGAGATTTAATTGACCTCGGTATCAGAACTGCTGTTTACAAAAAAGCATATGACCATAACATTTCTAAGTATTTGCGGAGTAATTGGATGCACATGTTCATCGAAGGAAGACCGTTGTTAAACACACTAGATGATAGACTGGGGCTTTTATTAGATAACGTTTATGTGGCCGAAAATAAACCTTATACTGACGAAGAGTTAAAAACCCAGTCCATACTTAATCATAAAGACGTCATGGAATATTTGGAAAGAACAAACGGTTGGTCCGAAAAGGAATTAGGATTGAAGTCTGACTCGCACACAACAGTCAGTCGTGCACTTGGGTTCTTGGTCTACGATGTATTCACTTTGTATTATACCCTACCACCGTCGTCGATAACCGTAGACGATTTCGTAATTGGACCGGTCTTCGGGGTTTTAAGTTGTGAAATGGAGAATTCGTTTAAGCAAGACATTTGCAATGCACTTATTAAACGAAATATACTTCCTGTGTTACCAATAGCGGCTTTACAATATTGTTCAAGAGCTTATTGTCAGCTAACAGATAACGATGAATTAATAGAAATATTGGATGATTCTGACGATCTAGACGAACCAAACGACTTGGATAGTCTGGATAACAATGATAAAAAAAAATCAGACAGTAAATATTTTCAAATTTTAAATTAGTCATAATTAAACGTAAGTATATTAGTAACTATTCAACAGTACTGGTTTAAGTAGCCGATTTGAATTGGTAGGGTAAAAACATTAATTTTATTTATGCAAAAAATATTTTTATTAAACAATTTTATATTAATTTTTATGTATATATTTTCTTTTTAACAATACCAGCGACGCATCCGTGCGTCATAAAAAAATATCATACGTAGGCCAATGATGTACTAGTGTGCATAAAGACTCTTTTTGAAAAACATACATTTTTGTAAGAATGTTAAAATGATAAAAAAATAATATTTTTAGAATAAGCCTATTGATACATTTACTGAGGCATGTGAGTTTTTTATATAGAGACCATCAACAAAATGTATGTAAGTAATTTAAATTTATGTTTATCCGAAATCTTACTCAGATTATTATCTTGAAACTTTGTTTGAAATATCTACACACCATTGTTGAAATATTAATACTTTAGTTTACTTATCGCTTTGTTACTACCTATATTAAATTAATGAGAAATGTAAATTCTTTAAGTTAAGTTTTTTAAACACTTTCTTTAATAGCATTTATTAAATTACTTAATCATTATTTTTTTACGCTAGATAAATTTTATTACTAAAAATATTTATTTTTCATCTATGTAATATTAATATATTATTAAGTAATATTTTGAATAAAATTAATATTATTGCATATTTTGACCATCAAAACGCAAAAAATATATATATTTTATGGTATATTTCATTATTAGACGTTTTTATCATATAACAGTATGTATTGATGCTATTCAAAAATACCAATATAAGAACATAATATTAAGGTCTAACAGTAGATCGTTCAGTTTTGAAAGTTTAAGAATATTATTTTATTAATTTTGAAACGTATATTTCTTTTTTAGCATTTATATTTCATATTTTTCGGCTTATATAGGTAATATTAATTGCATATTTTACAATTTTTTATCGCATATAAATCCTAGCCTTAGTGATGATCAAAAAACCGATGTTGGACCAGTAGTAATTCAATAGTAATTTTTTTCCTGCCTATTTTTCAAATGGAGTTTATTTTCTTTATTTCTACCTAGTCTTTTTATGTATAATTTGTACATTATTTAATCTGTACATTTTGAATACTATTTGGGTGATAGCAATATAATTATTTATTACTCAATGAATAATACATTAAATTATTTATTTATTTTTAGAAATTATTTGCTTAGAGAAAGTATAAAAATATTATGGGAAGGGAAAATAGAAATGTGTGTAAATTTTCATTAGTAATTAAAATGTAGATTTGTATGAAAAATGTTGAATAAATTTATTTTACAAATCACAAACTTCAGTACTTAGCAATATGTTTTAATGTTTTATAGGTTATTTAAAAAAACACAAAATCAAAAATGAAAATTTCGTAAAAGTTTAAAATTTAAAATATTTCTTGTATTTCTATAATACATGTTAAATAAGTATTATTAATAATAATATTGTTTAATAGAATACATCATTTTTGACAATAAATTTGTCAACAAGAATCCAACATTACTGAATGAAGTACAAAAATCAAAACAAACACAAACAAATTGGAAATTTGAAAAATATCATGAATTGGTAGAATGTGGAAAAACTGCATACCTTCATATTTACAGAGGCAAACCTTTACCAAAATATTGCCTTATTGACTGTGTATTATATTATATAAAAGCAAAAAAAGTGCTTGGAGGTTGTGTATTCATAGGATTTTCAAAAGAAAATATAATAACACTAGAAGAAAGATTGTCTAATAGGAATTCTCCGCCTTTTGGGACACATGACTTTATGAAAGACATAAATCCAACTATATTGGCTCCATTCAAAGGGCCAGATTTAGTTGGTATAGGACGATACGAGACCTCATTTACTAGATATTTAAAAGTAAGACATCACATCTACCTATAATTATATGCTTAATATCTTTATAATGTTTATTTGCACCATTTTAGATTGTATCTGATGAATATAAATTGGATACATTTTGTGATTTACATGAATATTACAAATCTCATAATATATTAACATTTTTACAAAGCAAATATAAAAATATAGATTTTGATGAACATAAGATTGAATTACTATGTAATGCTTTGGCTGGTCAACATGTAAACTGGTCTGAACAAAATAAATGGGTGAATTGTATTTATGATATGCACAATGACCAAGTACAGTATGAAACTCAAAAAAATTCAAGTAAATATAATTCAGTACAGCCAATAAAAGTGCAAAAAAGTGTGTTTAAAAGAAAAAGATTGCATGGAAAATCAGAATTTGAATATTTAGATTATATATCATCCAGTAAGGTAAACATGATTACAAATGAATTTGTCGACTCTGTAACTGTTATAACTAAGCCTGAAGAAGTTAAGTCAAAACTGTTCAATGTACAAATCAATGCCGAAATTGGTGCAGTATTAGTACAGTTTTGGATGTTAATGGAAAACAATTTTGTTCAGAACATGGAATGGTGTTTCTTTCATAGAAGAATACTTATTTATAACCAAATGCCTTACATGGCTTCAATAAATAACTATATTAATGAAATACTAAAACGACAAAATGTAGAAAAAATAGAACTTGTTAAAGTATTGCAATCTGATTTACTAAAAATACCTAATGATGCACTGATGAGCTCGGATTTAATTACACAATTGCTTTCGACTGTAGAAGATACTAAATTTATCTTAACAGAACTGACAAATCATAAAATAAAAGACTGTAAACAATTTATAAAAAATGAAAACATTGATAGAAGTCTCGATAATACAATGAATTCGATGATTTTAGTTTATAAGCATATGTTACAAACTGAGGTTTGATAAATATTATGTATATTAATGTAAATAATTTATTTAACACTGAATTTATTAAATTAGGTCGATCGAACAGTGAATACAATACTTTTCATCCATTCATATATGTCTAAAGTATACAATAAAAAGTTAACTTTGTCAATAATTCCAAATCATATTGTAGTTTCATTATCAAAAGAGCAAGAATTTAAATCGAAAGGAGTAGAACAAATGGCAAGTGTTGAATATTATTACAAATGGTTTGATGCCACTGTAATCATGGTTCAAAATAAACTCAGAGGTACATTAAAATCCACATACGAATGGTTAGCAGAAATGAAGAAAATACATAGTGAAAATTCGTTAGAAAGCAGTAATATATATTTGAAAATATGGAAATTTTTGGTAGATAAGGAGAATTTTAGATCAATTGATCAATTAAAATTGATATTAACTAGATTTCATGAAGATATAAAGGTATTTTTTTTGTAAGGTATTATAAGACATCAAGTTATTTTTTTTTTTTTAGTTATTCATCCCTGCATTTAATTTTATAACCATCAAATATTTTTAGATATTTAAATTAAATGTATGTGTAATCTGACAATAGGAAATGGAAAGTTATATCACACAACATAAATTGGATATGAATCGACGAATAGATGAATGTTCACAAAAAGAGATTTATGCAATTGAATGTATATGTAATTTATTTAAATCTGCTATAAATGAGAAACAATATGTTCGTCATGAAATTATAGTTGTCAACAATAATTTTTATATAAATGCTGAAAATGTTCTGCAACCAAGTAATCCTCCACCATATCCCTTTCCTTTGTTAGAACCAGAAGATATATGTATTGTAACTATTCATAATCTAAAGGAAATTACAAATCAATTGATAGCAATTTGTCCAAACAAACGAATTTCTATAGTTGCACTTTCCAGTTGTTTAAAATCTTATTTGAAACATCATCCTGAAATTGAGTAAATCATGTTTAAAAATGAATAAATATTAATGAGTTATTAATTTTAATATCAAGTGTTTAATAGGTGGTTTAATACAGCACATTTTGTATTACGTACCATGTTTGGTCTCAATGTGAACTTTATTGATTGGTCTGATTTTATTCTACATTGCTTGGAACTTCCTTACCCTAATGTCGATGATTTGTTGTATCTCAAAAACCAATATTTGGAATTGGAGAAAAAAAAACAAAAAGATCCTAGTCAAAACTATATAGAAGGTGTCTATTTAAGTGACTATTTTTATTGGAAATTAATTTTATTATTTTTTAGGTACCATAGATAAAGATGAATTTGATTCAGTTTTGCTGTGGTATCAGAAAACATTACCACCAAATCCCTCGATTCATTTTAGATTTATAAAAATTAAAGAATTATTGTTTAAAATATTTTCTGTTGATGGAAAATTAGATTATATTGCAATGTTACTAGTTCTATGCAAAGACAACAACTCGATTATGGGATTAATAAAAGCTATCAACTTAATAACGAATCAAAATATTATGAACGATGAATTTGATAATTCTAATCTTATGAATGAGAGGCATTCTATTAATTTGCCTATAGAGACATTATACAAGATTTTAATGATTTGCCTTAAAAACTATAAGGTAATTGTTTTAAAATTTTCTTTTGAATCAAATTGTTTAAAATACCTATGCATGAAAATAGGACCCAAACAATAGTGACATCGAAGATTTGGCTACTTCGATATTAAACATAGACAGTAATATGCTTCAAGATAATGGTGATATGTATTCCGTATTAAAATTACTTCAGAATGATAAACTTAAATCGGTATCTGAAATTGGATTTAGATTTAATTCAAGGCCTTTGTCTAGTATTGTAAATAGTCTTAAATGATTATAATGTTGACACAATTTCATAATTATTTATTATTATCAGTAAACAATACAACGAACAATTTATTTTTTAAGGTAATGCCTGTCTTAATAATGTTATATTATGATTTATTCGACATATTAACAACTATTTATGCTAAAATAGTTGTCAGATCATAAATATTTATCCATGTATTTATAATTACCTAATGATGTACATTCACAAACAATTGAAATAACATAACAAAATTTAATATTTAAATAGTATTAATATTTAATATTTTCTATTATTGGAGATTTAAAAAACACATGTTTAAATACCATACTAGCAGTTTTTTAAATTATATTAAATAAAACTATAACACATCTTAATTCAAAATCATCAATGCTTTTAATAATTTAACATAGGTAGTTTTTGTACTTGACGTAACTATTAGGATTCAGATTTCATTAAATAATGGTAATAAATAATTTATTTACATATTAGTAATTTTAAGTGAATTTTTTGATTTGCCTACCATAATTTGATTATTGATTTAATCGATACTATTGAATAGTAGTGCAAAACTATATATTATGAATTTTTAAATTCAACATTTTGTCAATTTAATGGTATTATGTAATACAATCATCGATTTTATCGATTTATGTTATTTATTTGTCACAGTTTGACATCCAAATAAAATATATTATAACGTAGCAGATAGTGCGGATAGAGAATATAACATAGTTTTATACATCGAAAAAGCATTTATTAAAAATATTCCAGCACAACATGATGCTTAAAATAACAATAACTCCTTAAATACATAGTTAATACTTAACATTAAATAATTGGCCTCTCAGTTTTTTTCTTCATGATTTTGTACCGTGTAACAAAAATATATAAAACAAAATAACTAAGGGACACATATTGTCGAGTTAAACTACGATTTTGATTTTAAAACATCAATAAATGACACATTTTTTCTAATGGGAAAAAAAAATTCAATAATAATAATAGTAGTAATAATAGTAATAATAATACAATAATAAGTCGCTACGACAGCAAAAATGATTACAGTACGCACTGTCAAATCGCATAGACGATGCGATATAGTTAATATAAATATTAAATTATAATCATAATAATAATAATTAAAATAATAATAGTATTAAAAATAAAAATATACTGTTTAGTAATACTCGTCTGTGACAAATCAACACTCGGGTTGTTCCCAAAACGGAAAAACGTGTATTTTAAAAAACATATTTTTTTTTGTCGAATCATGGTAATAATAATTATAACTAAAATCACACTTAAAATTTCAGAACGAATACGAGAGTGTTTATTGGTCGCCTGCATGTTAAATTTTTCCAGCAATGTTTCCGAAAAAAACCCAGATAAATCCTTAAATGTTTAAAAGAATTAAATGTAATTATAACTAATAATAACGTGATACCCTAAATTCATTGTCAACTGTTCAAAAAAAACTTTGGGAGACGGTTTATTTGCCCGTTTTATACATGTTATATGTGTAGAATATTACTAAAACGTCTCAGACGAGTACAGTTGTCCACATATAAACCCCGTCAATCTCAAACATGGTTTTGTACACAGTAATATAATATACTTAATTTTATCTATAATATTTATGAAATAATAATGTTAATTGTAATATTGTGTATGTTTGTAATTTTGTACTCATTACATTATTTATTATATACTGCACAACAATATTGAAGTATTGATTTATTGAAACATCACGTGCGAATTATGTAAGTATTAAGTAAACATGAATATTGTTACCGCTGGCAGTATACGAAGGTATAATGAAAACGAAAGTTATTTTTTTAAAGAGATTAATATATTTTAAAATCAATGCTTAGCAATAATAATTGAAGATCAGTCGTTCAGACAATTGGTTTCCGGTTAATCCGAAAATCAATTACAGAATCTATCGAGTAGCTAATAAAATCATCGGTAAATGATTTCGTTTTTCACTGTTAGAAAAATATATACGAAACATTAATGAACCGTTCTAAAATAATTTAATTCTCATTAGATTAGGTTACGTTTATGATTAATATTTAGTAGGAATCATTTGTTGAATATTATTAATTTAAATAAACTATTCGGTCACTATTCGTTTTAATTAGTATAATGGAGGTACAATAATTTATAGAATTTATTCATATTATGTATGTTTTGGTAATTTGAAAAATACACGTTTAAACATATATATTTATATATATATAATTGATGAATTAATGATGTTTCAATTGATATTTAGTAAATGCAAAAAATCAATATGTTGACAAATCAGTGACAAAAGGAATCGAAAAATTCATATTATGTAATTCACAAAACGAATGCCTAAAAATTAAATAAAACACAGGAAAAAAAACTTAAGTATATATGTATTATATTTGCGTGCATCGCGCGACGTGCCTGCTCGCCGGGAACATAAATTCACAGTTAAAACTAAAAACGACGAAATCATATCTATAATATTAAATTTAATTATATATAATATATTTTGAGCAAAAATCCAAACAGGAAGAACGCGGCAACGGAATCTCCCAGCGGGGCAAAGAAAAAAATGTATAATAAATAATGAAAATACAAAATATAAATGCCCTCTGCGTGTTACAGTCCTGGGGGCATGCTATAACACATATAATACTAACTATAATATAGATTTGATTTTTGCCGATGGCTTTTTTTCTTTTAAATTTTCCCATTTAACGTAACATTTATAACAATTCGTATAGGAGTACATTGTGTGTCTGTCATTACGCGTTAATTATTATTTACTACTGCAGTCATTTTCTCCAGTTCCTTCCGTTCGAGTCGTCGCTGCATGTACGGTATGGTGAACAGCATTAAACCACTGACGGCGATGTTCGATCCCGAAAGGTAGAAACCCGGATTGTACGAGCCCATTATGTCAAACAGCCACCCTATACATGAAAGAAATAATATTAAACAACGATTATTATAAATATTATTATTCAGTATACATGCGTATGTAACACCGATATCGATGTTTAACATTTCCATCTCAATATTGTAATTATTATAATCCTATTATCATCGTCAGACGTCGATACTATAATATAATACATACAATATAGAGTGATAAATTCACGATCATCGATATTTTTCTAGCGATCGGATAGGTACTTTACTTGGGCGACGTACACATTTGCATATGTAAAATTTCAGTAATTACAGTAATGTGCATGTTTGTCTCCACTCACCCCTATTAAAAATAATCTCATTCTCTGATGATTAATATTGTCTTAATTTGAGATAGACAAATGCGGTGAGACATACCTATAATCACGGTAACAGTTAATTTTTTTTTCTTTTCTAAATATACTATATTCTCTGATTATCTAATAAAAATACAAAGACTATATTTTCCAATAAACAATTTTTAAAAGTTTTATTGAAAACACGGTCAATTTTATTACTTCATCAGGTATTTTAAATTTAAAAACACTATTTTTTATATTATTTTTAATCTATCCGGTCCCCAGTTATTCGTATTTTTTAATAATATCACGTATTAAAACTATTATAAATATTTTTTCATCACCATAACCATATTTATCTTTGTCACAAAACAATATCAATATCGAACTTTATAGGTATTTTAAGTAAAATGTTTTACAATCTAATAAAATAACATTTAACTGTCTAAGAAGTTATAATAGTAAGAGAAAATGTCAAAAACTGCAGTTTCTTTATTAGACTTAACTTTATGAAGTATTTTTGTTATCAAAATATGCGATAAACCTAAGTAGGTATATTTATTTGATTTTTACTTGAGAGGATTTTGATGTATTGTCCTTTAAGCATAAATAAGAGGCTTCCAGTAATAAAATATTTTATTGAATCTTTCGGTTTATGACATATAATTTTGTTTAAGCCCCGTTGAAACTAATATTAAATCAGTGAAGTTGTAGTGTATATACAATACTAGATAATATCATTACGATGTCCGGGAGATGCTGAGATACTGATGCGTTGACTAATATTGTTCAACGATATAAGCAATCGTAGAAGCTTAATCTATAATATATATCGAGTGAACCCGTCACATGAACAAATACCGCGCTGGTATCTTAATGGATTTACATTTAAATTATTGATGTGAGATTAACATATACCAGAAACGCATAATCTATGGATAGACGTTGGGACGAAGGTCAAGCTTACTCAGGAGGTCTTACTCTTACACACCATTATTAATTATTTTAATATATTATGGATTGTCGTGTTTATTTAATAATTTAATATACAATACGCGATGGATTAAATAAATAGGTTACCAGCTATGGGTGGTCCGACGAGTGAGGCGATGCCTTGGAACAGCAACAGGATTCCAAAAGCGTTTGTCAATTTGTCTAGACCCAACAAGTCCACCAAGATCACTGACGTCAAACCCACGTAGGCACCGATTGTGGATCCAAAAACGATTGTGTACATAGATAACGAGAGTATGTCCGTACAGTATGTGCTTAACATTGTAGCTATGCCGTAAAATAAACGAAAAACAATAATATATTTTTACTATATTAAAAGAGTATATTTATTACTAAAATACTAAAATAAATGTTTTGTTGTCACCTGGTAAGTACCTAGATAGCAACGAATTTAATAATTCTATAAATAAAATATTTATTTTTATAATTTTTAATACGTTACAAAAGAATAAAAAATACAAAGAATATAATATTATGGTTTATAATTAATAGCTTGTTATAGAAAAAAACAAACTCAATGAAACTACTATACTTTGTATCTATATTTAAGATCCTAGATAATAAGTTTCGTCTTTCGAGTGTTCTTCGTTATTGCGTGATTGTTATAAGAATGATTTTAATTTTAATTTAATGATAAGAATCATTGCATGCATGCAAAAAAAAACAAATCTGAGTAAAGGTGGTGTCTCGGGATATCTTAAAATGTATGAAAATAAAATATAATATCCTTCTCATAAAGTTTATTTTGTACATTATTACATAAAAAAGACTGAGACTATTCATTGATAGGTAGATTAAGGATATTTTAGATAGATCAAATTAAAAAAATATACATATTATATAAGTAATAATTATTTTTATAAATGTTAATAACTAATTTACAATTTATTGCAGTAGGTAACAGGGAGGTTCTAGTTTGAAGTAAAAAACTAAGTACAATATTGTTGTAGTATATTAAGGTTATCAAGTACCTAATAATTCATTTACATGTGTTTAAAGTAAAACAGTAGATAGAAATAACTTTTTCGAAATCACATATTAAATATCTAATAATTATTCTAATATTATACCAAAATATGTTATTGTTAGCTGTTATTAAATTTACCAATATAAAAATGGACCATAAGAACGGTGTGAATAAAGGTACGAGTTATAAATATAGATGTATAACTTAAAATTATTTTAAATATCTTAAAAATTTCGCTGTAAAAATAATAGTGATATGTTAAAAAAATAGTAAAAACGATAAATAATAATATACGTAATAGCGAAAAGTTTCAAGAATAATATTTTTTGTGTTACAACACAACAAATTTGTCAGATGAAAGTTTTTTATTTTTCGTAAATATCAAATTCCATAAGCATTTTAAACTCAAATTGTTTTAACAATATTGTATACTTGCATTTATGATATTTTTAAATTGTTATGAGAATAACTTATAAGGAACCTTGTATGAATGAATTAAATTATTAAAATATAAATAATTTTTTATGAATTTATAGTTACAAAATAGTTAAACAAAACTATTACTATCTACTTTGATGAATATTTAATCTAAATTTTGATTTTGAACGATGATAAAACATTTTTGACAGAGTATTTTTAATTTTCTAGAAACATTTGTTAAAGAACTTTGTATTAAACTAAGATTTTTCACGTAAAAACAAAAATATTATAACAACAAATCGAAAATAGTTAAGAATTCAAACTTATAATCTATAAATAGTACAACATACATAAAATTATTTTATTATTTCCCTCTTTAAAAAAAAAGTTACAAGTAGTTTATGAAAAACATTTTATTTAAATATTCTATTTTGTATGATATACCTAAGCATTTCAATATAAATTAGCATAATAACAATTACAAAACTAATAGGTTTTAAGATAATGTTCTATTTATAGGTATAGTTAGCTGTGACTTTGACACTTTGTTATAATTATTTGAACAAATTAAAATTTTAAAAAATCTTTAAATATTATGCTACTTATGCTTAAGCGTACAGTTTTTAGTAACAAAACGACGAATTCAATGCATAGTGATTTACAGTGATCAATAGGGAGCGAATAAAATAAAGACGATAAAAGTACACTGACGTTACTATATTTCGAATATGCAGATGTATAAATGTTAAATTAATGTAAAATAATGGATAATATTTAATGTGCACTATTAAGATATCAATTACCAAATTAACACAACGCTAAGGCTTTATTTGGAGAAGTTGTGTTATAAGATGCTGCCTACAAGATAACTCCATAAAAACGCGAACTCGTTCGTGTCGTTGAAATGTACATTTCATCCTTAAATACTACGACGATTGTATTTGTCTGGGAGGGAAATTTTTTTATAAAAATAGTTACACTTACCTACACCACAAACTGTCAAACACAGATTGTACACCATGAGCCTATTTATCCAAGGTTTGTCTGATATAAATCCGAGTATAATCCTACCCAATGTGTTGGCGATGCCCAATAATGCTAACAAATAACTTGAATGTTTTGATGCTATACCCATTGAGGTGGCTTGAGGCTGGAACACATACAATAATATTAGAACGATATAATAATAATATTAGCAGTAAAACGAAACTATATGCTATGAACTCAATACTAAACAGTTCCAGTTCATAAATATTATCAAATTATAAATTAAATATATTAATAATAGCACATGGTCAAATGTGAATAAAAACTACATTTTTTCAATTTAAATATAATTTTGATTCTAAGATTTTATATTATGTATTATACACAAAATATAAATCAATACACTACGAGTTTATTATTCTACAGTTATTTAATAAATGTAGCCCACAAAAAATATTTGAACGTGTCGGAGTGATCAAATTTTGACTGTAGGTATTTGTATACGCAATAATGCACACTAGTTATTAAAACACGATAGTGTATATATACTTACCACTAAGTACAAGTACGGTATGTTGAAGCCAATGCTCGTCAAGAAGTTTGAAATTGTGTACAATATGAAGATGGGATCTTTAAGCAGTGAGAAATCCAACATTTGCTTTATTGTATTTTTGGCGTCGGCAGAACAACAGATTCCGTCTGAAAACTGGTCATTATCTATGATTGCATTGGTCATATCGGCGGCATAAGCACCGGCATTAGTTGACTGCGATATGGTTCTAAGAAAACATCAAGGTATTAAATTTAATTAAATGTTCTAACCATTAAGTTTATCAATATTGAGAAAAATATACTAGGTACCATTAAGACATGTAAATATATTAGACGGTTCAAAAAAAATATTTTTTGAATTTTTTAAACATCTTCTAGATGCTTTTGCATAAAATTCAATGTATATTTGTTAATTTTTGAAAAATTCTATAATTTTTTTCATACGTACTCTCATAAAAAAGTTTAAATAACATAAGATCTTTACCAGGAAATAAAAACAATTATAAATTAATATATCATGTAAATCAGCAACACAACATTGATTTTTAATTCTATTTGAATAACGAACTTTTATACGCTAGTATAAATCAAAACTAATTAAAAATAATATTATTTCATTTATAATATTCAACAGTATTCGTAGTACATTCAATTACAGACGACTCGCAAAACATTTTATAAGAAAACAGCAAAAAAATTTTAATTTTCAAATATTTATAAATACATTTTATTATGTATAAAAAGTACCTATTGATACTTGTTTACTTTTCACTCTCTAAAATACCAACTTGATCCAATTTATAATCAGAAATCACCCTCAAAGTTGAGAATTGAAACATTAAACTGATCGAAAAGGTGATTACAGACACAAATATAACATCAATACATTTTTCTACTCTGATCTAAATATCTAATAGTACTAGAAATTTTAACTTGGTATCATTTACATTTTCACTTAATGTACCTATACATATAAAGTATTCTTCATTGCTTTTAATAAGTTAAAAATATCTATAAACATTATAACTATAGTATATTTAATATAAACATAAATTACACATATGGATAAATTGATATAAATACATTTATACACATATATATTTCAGCTATGGAAAACAATCGTTGCAATTGGCCTCGGGGCAAAGTCTTAGGCGGATCTAGCGTATTGAATTATATGCTGTATACACGTGGAAACGAATTGGATTATGATAATTGGTTGCTTAAAGGCAATCCAGGTTGGGGGTACCACGATGTGATCCATTATTTTAAAAAATCAGAAGACAACCAAAACCCGTCCCAAACCCAGTCTCCATATCATTAGGTTGGCGGCTATTTGACGGTGTCTGAAGCACCGTACAAAACGCCGTTGGCTGACGCGTTCATTGAAGCTGGCCTTGAAATGGGCTATAATATCCACGATATAAATGGTGAACATCAAACTGGTTTCATGACACCTCACGGTACCATCAGAAAGAGCACCAGATGCAGTACAGCGAAAGCTTTCTTAACACCAGCCAGACTACGGAGAAACCTACACGTGACCATGAACGCTCATGTCACACGCTTAATAATCGATCCTCAATCAAAAATCACGACCGGCGTTGAAATGAAAAAGAATGACCAACTGTTTACTGTTCAAGCCACTAAAGAGGTGTTGCTGTCTGCTGATTCCATCAATTCTGCACAGCTTCTTATGCTTTCGGGCATAGGCCCTAAAAAACATTTAGCAAAAATGGGTATACCAATTATAGCCGATTTAGATGTGGGAAAAAATCTTCAAGACCACATTGGACTTGGTGGCCTCACGTTTTTGTTTAACAAAAAGGTGATATTATATTAATTAAAAATAATAAAAAGATGTTTTATTTTTATCACATTAAAATATTCTAACAGACACGCCACAGTGAATTGAAATATAACTACACGCTTTTTCATTTGTTGTATAGATGTCATTAACGCAACAGAAAGTGGAAAATGTTAGTTCAATTATGGACTATGCATCGATGGGCAAAGGGCCATTGACGATCATGGGCAGTATCGAGGGATTGGCGTTTATCAATACTAAATACGCTAATCTGTCAGCCAATCAACCAGACATAGGGTTACAGTTCATGTCTAGTTCTATCAATTCTGATAGTGGTGTACAGCTGTGGAAAGCTCATGGTCTAAAGGAAGAGATTTACAATTATGTTTACAAATCAATTCATAACGAAGATGCTTGGTCTGCTATACCTGTAAGTGAGATATCTTAATAAATATGAAAAACGAAAATACTATATTATATTTTTCATAAAATGTAGTAAGGTCGACTAAATCACAATAATCGATGAGGTTTATACATACATATACTTAATCAAAACGTATTCATACTAGAATATTTTATGTATCAATAATATATAGTTTATACGTACTAATCACTTAATTTACTAAAATAAATTGTTTTCAGATTTTTTTTTTAATGTTTCACATATTTTGATAGTTATTCGTGTGTTGATTAAACCTAATATAGATTATTCATTACACAGATTATTCTTGGTATTTATTAGAACCAGGCGTTCTCCAAGGAATTCAATTTTGCTAGGATAATCAATTTTGATTATTATTTTTTTTTTTTTTTTTTACAAGAAAAAAAAATGATTTCATATATTTAAAATTGTAACTGAAAATATGTTCACTAGTTTTATAGTGTTCTCAAGTCCTGAACATTTTTTACTAAGCGTTGTTTATGTATATTTAACGCAAACGAATTGTATTTGGAATTCAATAACATAACACATACCGACATCCTTACCCACAACCCGCACCGGTGATAATTAATGTTTCATGTATAATAACAGATATTGTTAAGACCCAAGAGCCGTGGCGAAATACTGTTGCAGAACATCAACCCGTTCGAACATCCCAAGATTATTCCTAACTACCTGACGGCCTGAGAAGATATCTATACGTTGGTGGAAGGCATTAAGTTCGTGATAGCTATGGCCAAGACCACTCCGTTTAGTCAGTACGGAAGCCTTCTGCACGACATACCGTTCCCCAACTGTGCTGCGTTACCGCAGTTCACAGACACCTACTGGGAATGCATGGTCCGGCACTACACCGTGTCTATGAACAATCCGGTGGGCACAGCCAAGATGGGCCCCAAGTGGGACAAAACTGCTGTGGTGGACCCACAACTCCAGGTTTATGGCGTCAACGGTCTTCGGGTGGTGGATGCGTTAATCATGTCTACGCTAGTCACTGCCAATACCAACGCGCCAGTCATAATGATTGCCGAGAAAGCTGCAGATATGATAAAAAAAAAATGGCTATAGTATAATATAATCTCAACACGCGCGTAATCTGTAGTAATAATTATTGATTTTTTTTGTTTTTGTTTTAACCCATAAACCTATTTTTAATAATAATTTTAAGAATGTAACGATTATGCTGAAATATCATTGTATATACCTAGCTTAAATATAAATTAATAAATAACGGTTAAGTTGTCGCACGCAGATAACTGTCAATTCCAACAGAACTCGTTCTTTACTGATAAAAGGGACAACTTGTACTGTAAAGATCGCATTGACAAGGTTAGATTAGCACATTGACAAGTGTTGGTGACAGGGAGACATAAAACGTGTAAATTTCTTATGTATCATCAGAAATTGAGAAAGGCCGAACAAGGGTTTCTACAGCCAAGGATAAGGCTAGTGCTGTTTTATCTTCATTCCCGTCAGCCTCTCTGGCTGGATTGCCCACATCGTCGTCTTTTACATTGTGCATGTACGCACCTACCACCCGAGTAAGACCTTTTAACACAAGATTCTGCAGGCGACAACTAAACCTTTTTTTTCAAAAAGCTAAACCAGTGTTATTTTTTTATTTTCGCTCAAGTGTTCATATTACAACTAGTATAACATATTTACTGTTGCAAATCTGGTAAAGTACATGATAAACTATGTATTATTACTATAAGTTATATATTAAATTTACATAACGGTGTATTTGATCATATTCTCGAGAACACGACCCCGAGAACCCTCCAAAGATCAGAAGGAAGGTAATAACTTGAATTTAATGGTATCTGGTAAGTGATTATATTTTCTAGCACTTATAAAAGTAGAAATGTATCTTCCAAATATATTCTCTTTATATTATTCTTTTCTCCTATTTTTTCATTATTACAATAGTTAAAACACATTTAAGCAAAATAACTTTTTTTTTAGTAATCTTAGAAGAAAATCAATCGTTACAAAAATTATATTGAATAATACTTTCTAAATACCTATTGTTTGACAATATTTAATATTCATTTTTAAAATAAGATAATAATAGCATATAAAAACAAAATATCAAATCCTCCAAATATTATTCTAATAGCTGATTTTAACTTTTATTTTACTCAAAAATCATAAAAAATTATTTTACATTATTGCGTTTTATCTATGTTGTGCATGTTCATGAGTTTGCGAGAAAACAAATATTGCATTGACTTCTTCTTAATATTTCTTTCTTTGTTTTACTAATAAAAAACCATAAATATGTGAAATTTTTGAAAAATATTTTTATTCGCATAGGTATTTAATAGTAAATAATAAATATTCGTTTTACCCAAAAAAACTTAGTTTGGTATTCTTATTTTATTTTGTGATTAAATTTGATTGAAACGTTTAAATTGCAGAAAAATTAAGTTAGAGAACTATGATAGACATAACTTATTCTGGATTAATTGGAACGATCATATATTATATTACAATACAGAGTATTGGTTTAAGAGTACCTAGATTATTAATATAAATGTTATAGACATATTAGCAGGAAAAGTTACCTTAAAATATCTCAATAAGGTAAGGACTGTATATATTCGTGTATTTTGTAATAAAACTTTTTTATCTTAATGTAGCCTGTAGGTAAACTAATTAATTATTATTTTTAAAATTTATCAAATGTATTGATTATTTACTTAACAGTAAAACTATGCGGGCTGAAGCGTATGGTAATAATACGCGCACCCAGACACTCAAAAATAATAAGAACTTATGATTTCACGCACTAACACCCAAGACCAAAAAATTCATAGAAATAGGCAATAGCTGATCTGTGTAATGTTGCAATAGCTCGATAAATAGTGGTCGGATAGTCGGGAACTGGCATGTGCTGTTTTTGATTAATTAAATTAAAGAAATATTAAAATTGCCTAAAATTAACGATTTAATGTATATGAATAAAATATTTGTATACA